ATCATCTCTCTATTAATTTTTTATGATAGCTTTAGGGAGACAACATAATAATCTTCAGAAACTAAGGGATGCTTTGATGTTGGTCTTGGAAAGGAAAAGTATTGAGATTTTGTACATAGAACATCTTATGACATATTTCTCAAAAGATGTGAAATATCTCATTCAAGTATATTTCTTTCTTAAGTGTCATGCTGACGTGACTCAGTCATTGTATATTAAATCACACAAATATAAAATTTATAAAACTAGAAAATACGAATTTTTAGATATTTAAAAGTATTTCTAAATAAATACATTAATTATAATTCAATAAAAATTTAAAAAATAGCAATAATTTTCCAGGTCGATCACATGGATGTAATATAATATTTGGTAATTATTCAGAATTTTTCTCAATGAATATGATTTTCTTACAAATTTTATACTAGGAAATAAAAAAGGAAATATATTTAAAATTTACAAAAAAAAGGAAATAAGGGTGCAGACGTCAATCAGAGATGATTTACTCGATGGACGATGGACGTCCGTCGAGTAAAAAAAGGAAATATATTTGAACGAAGTATAGTTTGGTAAATTAAAATCACACAAAGTATCACTAAATGAAGCGTAAATTAAATTGAAAGCAGGAAAACAGAGTTCCGGCGTTGCGATAGCGATGCGTCGGCGATGCATCGGAATCCTGAGTGTTCGGGAGGATTGTCTTGCAGTGTTCACGGCCTCGAAGGCTCTCCTTGGACAAAGACAATGTGGGCAATCTCTAGATCTTCTCACGAAGTCTAGAGATCAATGAAGTGGGTTGTCAAATCGTCTTCGGCGGCTGTCACCTAGCGGAGCAGAAAAACGGCGACTTTACGACTCTCCGGCAGCTGTCACCCGACGGAGAGGAGCTGGATAGAGGTGGGGCGCGTGTCAGGGAGCTTCATCCTCAGGTCTGCGCAGCAAGAGGAGGCTCTTCATTGCATCTGGTATGCTCTCAAGAGGTGATGACTAGTCTCTAGGCAGATCGTCCTCTTCCCGACGACGGCTTGTTCGTCGATCAATCGGAGATGATTTACTCGATGGATTTGCGATCCTTTTATCGCAAATCGTTTAGCAATTTTAGTAACAATGTTCCACGAATCACGTTGACGAGATTTTCGCCGATGATCCAGTGATTCTCGTTGCTTAATCCTTCACCGGCGATCTACAGGAAAATTACGATAATCAAATAAAAATATATGAATTTTGACTCTAGAAGGATTCAAACCCACGCCGGTCACCTGCCTCTTCTGAGAAAGGTGTGACGGGGGTTTAGTCCCACATCAGTTGTACGCTGATTTTTCAGGTGAATATATAGTAATGTTAGCTTTGTCAGCAAAGTCCCTTCTCTCGTGCGTATGACCACTCTTTGCCCCACAGCCGACTGGCCACCAGTGATGTGGAAGGGGAGTGGCGTACGTGTGCTCTATTGGTCCCCAAGCCAAGCCGCTCGAGCCCCTGCTCACGACTTACTCCCCAACTGCGCTTCTAACCCGCTTGTGGGCCCAACTGGCCAGCAGGTCCCCCTATTTTTGCAATATTTTTATTTTTATTCCTTGTTCTTCATTTATCTCAAAAGTAAGACTGTAAAAATCATATAAAATCATATAATTACTCAAAAATTCACGTTAATCAATTGAAAACCAAAAACCATTCTTTAACACAAATATAAGTCTATTTATCATGAGTTAAGGCTAAAACTATATTATTTACTAATTATTAACTCATGATAATGAAGACTTATCACATGCCTATGCATCTTATATAGATGGGATATCAATTTTTAGAGACTTAAAATAGTTGGAAATGAATCATTAACCCATGTCAATAGTACTTGCAAATGCCAGATGATCAGTTCATCTTACTACAATTATTTGCCTAGTTCTATGTTATGGCATGTGATGATCATTTCATAAAGATCACTTGAATGACTTCTATTTGAATTTTGACTTTTGGTATTTTTCTTCAAAAGGTTTGTATAAAAGATCATCATCATATGGGTATCAAAATATTGATGATAAATCGATGCCAAACTTTATACTTCATCAACATCAAAATATTAACTCAATGTCAACAATATCTCTGGTTTTTGAAAGCTATTAGTAAAATTATGTTGAGTACACATGAGCTTCACTTCTAGAGTAGAACCTCTAAAATGGTGAACTATCATTAGGCATCTAGAGGTAGGTCACTTAAGAGTCATGACATTTGTATATAGCCACATTAACCTTAGCGTGTTCATCACTTGCACAAGAGAACAATGGCACATTAAGGAGGTTTGTTAAGAAGATTATAAGTATTAGGGAGTTGAATCACTATAAAAGTCTTATAGTATTTAATCTTATATCTTAAAGAATTTTGACTAACATAAATTATATTAGGATAAACCTTTATCCACACAAAGATTTAATTCACCTCCCTCCTCTTGGTACTTGTTTTCATCAAGAGTGCACAATACAATTAAATCATTGTAATATGTCATTAAGCTTTCTTCATATAAAGTAAGTCAACATTCTTTTATAAAATAATATAGTAGACAATTTTTAGATGTATTTAGAGCTTGACTTATGACACAAGCATAAGAATATAGTAATGTCATTGTCTTTATACTCACACAACATATTTAAAGTAATATGTAATTAATATTTTATTCTAATAACTAGTTTGTCATTGCAAAATATGGTTGACTCCAAAAAGCCAAATTGTCATTAACATCTTACATTAAGAAATATAGGATGACAAAGTTATTGAGGATTTGTCTCACAATTCAACTAAAGATTACCCCCTCTTACTTACCTATTATTCTAAGAAAGGTCATTAGAGAAGGCCTTAAATATCTGATTTTGTGATAAATTAAAAATGTTTATTTCTTCTAATCCTGTCATTATTTTCTCTTAACCTTACTAATACTTCAGTCTTGTTAATACGGGGATGCTATAAAACATCCGATATGTCACTAATGAAGAGATCAGAGCTCTTGAGAAGTTTGGGTTTTGGGAGCTTATCAATCCGTCTTGAGGGGAGGAAAATAGTAGGTGAGTAGGTGTGCACACTACCAAACATTGTGCTAGTTGCCAAGTGATTCACTTGGACCTAAAGAGGTAAAATATAAGCACATTTGTTTGCTGGACAACTACACTTCTTTGATAGTCTTTAGCAACATCTACACATGCAATGTAGACCAACTTTTGATGCCAAAGGTGGAGTTTGATTAGAAGTCAAAGCTCTAGTTTTGTTAAAACCCACTCCCAAATCATGGCATAAAAATTCTAAGATAACCAACTTCAATTTGGGTTTTATTATAGAAAATGCATAAGCTCATAATGTAATCACCCTAATTACTTATATTAATAGCAATTGTTAACCTTGAGAATACCCAAAATCGAGAACAAGGATCCAACACAACTTACATGTGTTATAGATGTTTCCCGAGTCAATGATGATATCATCTACATAGTCCAAAAGATGTATCACATAGATTGGTCTTATTTAATATGCCACAAACAAAATATAACTTCTATGAAAAGTCAAAATGCTTGTTGCAAATGATGTGGGTTCCTAATGTGAAGGAAGAGTAAGACTTTATGGGCTTGTAGAAAACAAATATTGTACAAATCTATCTTATTTATTAAAAAAATTAGTACACATCACTTATGTAAATCTACTAAGCTTTCATGAGGACAAGAGATTCATCATAGGATATTATGCATATTGGTGCTATGTATGGTATGGAACCTCAACATAATAAGCTCAATTAACAAGGACCTACAACACAGTTGCACTAGTGATATTCTGGAGAGAGAAAACCAGCCAAAAGGCCACAACACTTGTTCAATCTACTAAAGAGGAAGGAGATGGGGGAATCTCACAAAAAACACCCATGGTAACAGGCAGCACAACCAACATCAACGATCCCCTTTCAAGAGTTCAAGTCATGAGATTATTTCATAAACTTACCGTTTCCACAGAGATAAGAGACCAAAATACTCAGTGTTCTAGTGCTTTCAACTTCAGTCTTGAACTAGACCAGAGTATCAAACTCAGGATACACCAAGCCGGGTACCCTTTATTTACTCCACATCCATCCACTGTGAGGCCTCTAGATGGATTCAGCATAAAACTAGTAGTACCTACCACACTCTTTATTAGCTCCAGACTCTGCCCGGCGATATCCCCACTGCAACACTTTCTCTCTCCTCCCCGGAAGCCTGGTCCCCCAACCATAAGGGCCCGACTGTCCGATTCTACGACTGTTGATGGAGATCGGAAGACTGCAAGATGGGGCTGACATTACCGGGACCTTCACTGCTCGCAGAAGCTCGGCGGTGGTGCTTCTGATGATCAGATCACTCCATAAAGGCTTTGATGTCTCGACCATCATATCCTCAAACTGGGCTGTGCCTTCTCTCATGACGTCGTCCACCAATGCCCTTTCCCCCTTCTCATCATTTCTCCTGGAAGCTTAGAATACCTGAGAGAGAAAAACAAAGACACCACCCCAGTAAAAAGCTGTGTCACAGTCACATTTTCTGGCAGATGCTTTCAAAAATTGGAGAGCCTTTTGCCCCTCTTTTTCTAGCATTTTGGAGCTTGTAGTAGCATAAGAATGGATATCAACATCCTAATCATGGGTGAGTTGTGGGGATGGTTTGGTCTTCACGACATAGAGAACAGCCTAAGTATGATACTAATTTTAGCATTGATATCAACATCCTGGTGGAATAGGAGGTACCATCATGAGGGACATGAACCAGCAGCGCTCCAAAAAGGCCATCCATACTCCAAAGAAAATATATGCTAACACTGAAAGGACTGGAAAATGGAGGCCGAACTCATCAATAAGCACCAGGCCACAAGCCAATCACCCGACAGATTCTTTGCAACCTGAAAGGCAGGGTTTTCAAGAAGTGAGTGAACGCAAACTACATATCAGAACTCGTTGATTAGGGTGAGAGAACTACCATTATCCCCTCGATGCTTCCTCACACGTAGTAGTTGGGCCACAGAGATTGTGCTTGGTCAAGCACAGGACCAGGCTCTTGATTCCCTTGTTTCAAATGCGGGATAAGACGATAATCATCCCAGGTGTTGTTGCTCTCCACTTGTGCCGGCAGTAAAGGGACTTGTTTCCCCGGAAAAGGAAAGCTCATCACTCCATTAAGGTTATTGCCAGCGCTAGAAGTGACCTGTGGTTGCATATTATTAGTAGCATAATTAAACGAATCTACTGTTGTCACACCGTTGTTGGCTGAGGAGTATCCATCTAGCCAGCTATAATCATCCACCAGAGCACTCTGGTCCTTGGATACTGAACTGGATATGGCATCTTCCAACTTCTGCTTAGAAGGGACAGCGTTGAAACCAGGCGGAGGCCCAAGGCGTCTAACTGGCCTACCCACTGGAGCTTTCCATGAATTCACTGGCAATGTAGAAGATGAACTGAGAGCTAGGCCATCTGAACTCGCTGCTGCAGCCAAGAAAGCATCTAGATTTGATGGTATAATGGTTTCTGCAGCCTTCGTCTGATTGCTGACAAGACTGCCATGATCAGAAACTGCAGACCCAGAAAATGGAATCGAAGGAAATGTCGGCTGGATTGCAGACAAGCCTCCCCACATCCCTCTCTGAGAGCCCAAACCATCATCAGTAATTCTCATATTCTGCAGCCCATCAGAGAAGAAGGTTTCTTGATTCATAACCCATTTTGAAGTAGGATTGACGTGTTGTAGGGGTTGCTGGAGGATACTGGCAGTTGAGTTAGCGACAGATACAGATTGAAGAGGCTGCTGAAGGGCACTAACACGAAGTGGATTCATATAAACACTCGATTCTGAAGCAGGCAAAACAGGCTGCTGTACAGTATTAACAGGGGTCGAGTGAATATATGAGCTAGCAGGAAAAGCACTCTTCGGATTGTCAACAAGAGGAGCAGAAAGAGGCCTGAGATAATTTTGCCAATCACTTGAAGAACTCTGGCCAGATTGAGGAATTTCATAGCCACTCGGCTGGAGACCATTGGGGGAACTAACCTGGAAAGGCTGAACTACATCGTGTACTGAGGATTTCAGACCATTGGATGGCTTCTCTGCAACTGTAGGTTTGAAGACTATCACCTCATCTTCTTCTCCTTCACTGCACAACTGTGCCTTTGACTGAATGCCGCCAGCAATGACATTGTTGTCAAGAGGATAATCTTCAACCGAAGTAATACCGTTTGGCTTTGAAAAGTTTGAGTAACTAGCCTGAAATTCATCTTCATGGCTGGGAAGATGATCACCCAGAATATATTTCTTCATCTTTGAATCGAAGTATATTTTTTTCTGATCAACACTAACCACACTTGTCAATGCTTTTCCAGCACCCAGAATCCTCTGGATGCGAGACTTTTTCTCCTTGCTACTCCCATCACTGACATAAGAATGCTTCCCAGAAAAATTTAGGATGAGCTGTGCTGGTGCCAAAGGCACAAATCCCCTCAGTTCAAAGTCTTCCCACAATGCCAGACGATTCTCAGTTTCCCCTTCATCATACCTGCTCATGTCGAAGAAACAGGCATCTTCCTCACCACCAGAGGCTACAAGTCCACTGAGCAAGAGCCTGTTCATCAACGATACAAAATAGCTCCAGAATATTGATCTCGCAGAAGCTTGTTTTTCCTCAACTTCAACACCAGAAGCAATATCAGGATGGCAAGCCAACCACTCAATAAAAACCAGAATTGTAGGTAATAGATAGCTGGATGTAGCATCATGCAATTCTGTGCATCTTTTGAGAATAGACCCCATAAACTCAAAGGCAGCAGTAAAAGCATTCTGAAGCAGAACAGAACGCTGCAAAATCTCAGCATATGATTGGCTTTCAGATTCCCTACTTACATTATACACTGAGAAAATGAGAATGGCAACGAGCTTCAAAAGGAACATCCCATTATCAGCAGCATCAGTGCCAAAATTAAGGCCTTCATCAGGTCCAGAAGAAAGGAGTTCAGTCAGATCGTTCACAGCTGAGGAGAAAATTTCTCCGAAGGTTTCCAAGCTGTCAAAATACAGACAGTTAACCTTTCAATGACAGATACTATTATAATGAAGGTGGCATGATTTGAAAGGGGGAAAAGTTACCTAGTTCGTGTGTAGAGAATGCCATTAAGCCGGACAAAACGAATACAGAAGGCATTAAAAATTTCAGGAACACCAAGCTCTCTTTCTTTTACCGGAACATCCTCCGATTTAACATTTTTCGCCAGAACCCCTGTATAACCTCTCCCTCTACCAGTCATCCGTATCTTCAGGGGATTAGTTTTGGGATTTGCAGGAAGCTGAGAGCACTTCTGCCGGTTCTGTAAAATTAGCGTCAATAAGTTCAACCAGTCAAATAGATGGTGGAAATCACTAGCTTCAGAATAATCATGAAACAACATCAAGAATGTTTTGTGCATTAAACACAAAGCAAAAACAAAGAAATATTAGCAGGTATCAAGACAAGACATGTCAACTTTTACGTGCTGGAAATCCAACCCACAGCATGTGAATTGTACTAGGGCTATTGGCTAATAATTATAAGATTATCAATATGAGCTCAACAGAGAAGATAAGAGCTGTGAACTAGTGCCAAACCTGCTATATTAGATCAAATGAAACAAACAGAAGACTTCAAGAAAAGGACTGGTTAGAAACAGAGAAAAACACAGATACTAAATCATGACCGCTAGCAAAAAATAACGTGTGAAGAGCATTCAATACACTCTGTGGATTGGCCAATCCAATGACACTAGTCCAACTCAAACGTCCTATTAAAAAAACCCATCCACCAAATAAGTTTAGCATATTTGCATATTACAAACGCATAACAGCAGGTTGGGAAGCATAAATACTTAACGAAATCAATTTACCAATAAAATGCAGCACATAAGCCAGTTCAATGAAGACATTAAAGGTCTAATGAGCGACCACTATAGGGTAGGTGTACCAAGAACAGAATAAGTCGCAATAACTACTTTACCTTTTCCCACAAGAACAAACTATTTTATATGAGGTTCTTTGGCTATTGTCATGGAAATTTTATACTTCAATCAATCAATCAATCACAACCCTTGATTTTCAATATTAATTTGTTTTATCCTTCCAACAGGAGAATGCTCTCCTGATTCAGTTTACTGCTGATCGAAAAAAACATCATTATTTATGGTAAACAACCAAGGGAGAAGACTACAGGGAGCTGAGGATGAATTGGAACGCCGATTTGACGGAGCTCTAACATCATGAGTAGCAGATTATCACACTTCATTAGAATACAAATAAACACAAATTCATTATTGTTTTACGAGACGTTTTCTTCCTTAAGCAGCTTTGGATCAAGAGAAAAGATTCAAAGAGGAGCATAGAGCCAAAAAAATCAACTAGTCTTACACGGATTTTCAAGAGGTGAGTTGATTCAGTCATGTCGCACCAACTATTTACCAACAGAATTGAAAGGTATTAAATGTCTTGACAAAGAAAAGCACCAACGATTCAAGAAACTAAATGTGTGCATGAAACAACATCATAAGGAGAGCACTATACCAAGTAATCTATCAAGAGGAAGCAAGTTTATACCTTCTCAAATGCAACAATCAAGTTGTCACGTGCTGTTAACAAAGGATTCTCCACAGCCAAGCTCCGAAAATATCGGTAAATGGTTGTAAGCTCATTCTCATCAGTACATATTGATAATATTGCAAGCTGAAAGCAAAAAAAGAGAAATTAGGTTTCAAGGGGAAAATGAAAAAGCAAATTAATGCATCTAACTTGTCAACAGCTGATATATAATTTAATCTAACCTTAAATAAAAGGAAAAGGAAAGAACAACCTGGTGATGAGGATTGCCACTTGAAGGCCAGAGAGAAGCAGCTTGCATATAGTAACTAGATGCTGCAGCATAATCACGACTAGCAGAATCGCCCTCCCCATACATTCCTTTGTACCGTGCAAGGTCACCCAAAAATATCAAACAACGGTGACAGGATATCAAGGCCTTCTTTGTATCAGATGATTTCTTAATATCTTTTGACAAAATAGCTTGGTTCTCAGGGCCTTCAGAAAAATATCCCAGCGGGAGACCATATTTAGCCCTGATCTTCAGTATCAGGTCATGGTAGAATCCTGATGCCTCCGAAAGGAAGCTTTTAAAACTGGAAAAAATCTTCTTAGTTCGATCAGGTCTCGAAGGAACTTTCCCACCCTGCGCAGCAGTTGATGCAGCACTTAAATGAGCCCTGTATTCATCAATTTTCCTGTGGTGAAGCTGCCATAGTGAATACTCTACACCGTGTTTCTCCGAGAAATCGTGATCCTCTAAGATTATGGTCTCAAAATTGTCACGCATTTGGCTCCATGCATTCTGATCTGAAGGAATCTTCAACTTTACAGCCTTCCGCCTGGCTTCCTCCAACTCAAGATTCTGAAAGGATTGGCATGGAATACTATGGATCAAGACAATAATCGCGTAGGATGAATATAGGCAAAGCCATGGCCAACAACCCTCAAACGCCACAGATAAGTAAACAAAACAGACACATATGACAGAACCCAGTTGTTTTCCAACATAAATAATTATTCTTAACCTTTCAACAAAATAGAAGCGCACCAACAAGGGACCAAGAGAGTCGGAGGAACTTCAACCAAGAGACCCTGTCCCACTAGCTGACTTATCGCCCCCATTTTACAACTTTTTTTTGGCTTGAAAGTGCACGTTTATATCATTAAGAATCAGTGCTGCAAGTGGGCACCACTATGTAAAATAGTAATTAAAGGAAGCATTTTAAAATAGTATTTGCTAAGCTGGGCACAATAATATCAAAGGGTCACTGAAAATTGGCCAGAGGACCAACTGAAAATTGGCCAGAGAAAACGCAGTTTTTAGATAAGCACAAGGAAAATATGAGCAAAAGAGGAAGCATGTTACTACATACCGTCTGGAAGAGACGCTGGGCGACTTCCCTAGATCGTGTAGTAGAAGAGTTATCCATTACGGGAGCGCTCATCCATAAAATGCACACAGAACTGCCTGTTCAAGTTCCTTGTAGAAAGAACATATCGCATCTGAGAGAGAAAAGATGAAGAACAACACAGAAATCGTCAAATATCACCACAAGAAATCCCTTCTCCGCCTGACATCTCATCTACAACAGGGAATAAACGAACCCCAACAAAAAAAAACCCCAACAAATAGACTACAGTCAACTCTGTAGTCACGGAAAAGATGAACGATTACACGCACCAAACCAAAAAAGCCAAATTACCGCGCCAGCCCAGGGTCCCAAGAAGGCACCGATCTTAAGCGAACTAACCGATTCCCACTAAATTCATACACCCAAACCGGAAGGACGAACTAACCAGAAAAGACGGTCGATTATATGCAACAAAGCCAAAATAGCCCGCCAGGGGCCCCGGACGGCACCGATCTTAGATGAACCAGCCGATTGTCAAAAAAACCATCCCCCCGAAACCAAACCCTAACCCAATGGCCTCATGGTCATAGATCAAGCAAAGCCACCTCCACCCGCCAACCCGAAACCCTCGAAGCGCACAGGAGAGAAAGGGAATCAGAGCTCCACGGGGATCATAATCGAGGTAGTCACGGAAGGGAAAGCCATCCATGGACGAACAGGGGACGAGGGGAGAAGGGGGAAGAAGCTTACCTGAAGGCGCAGAGAGATTTGGGGGGAACGGCCGACGACCCTTCTCCTTTTGGCTTTCCCTTGTCGTCCTAAGAGTATCCCCTTCTATATAGAAACCCTTTTCACCCCTGACTTTATTTTATTTATATTTGACTACATTTCTCAACGGGCCGAGCCCGGACCCGAACCTGGCCCGAAATGAAGCTAGAGCTGAACCCTAGGCCCCGAATGAGCCCCGGAAGAGAGCCCAAAAAGGAATTGCCTCTATCAACCCCTTTTTGGGCTGGGCCCAAACACAGGAATTTACCGAGGCCTGGAGCCCAATTTTCTGGGATGTGTTTTGGGCCCAACAGAGCGGCCCATTGACACTCCAAGGTTGGGGTCCAGTTCGACTAATTTTTTGGAAATAAATTAATATATTAAAAATAATTAATATGTCAAACATTTTGTACTTTTTATGCATGAAATCCTAAATGTAAGACTCTTCATCTTTCTGGGCCAGATCAATTATTGGGCCTTATGCCCATTTTGTTGGTTTTTGTGGCCCAATAGTGAGGCCCATTTTCACTCAAGGGTGGGTCCCAGTTCAACTTATTATCTGGAAAATTATAAATTTTCTAAGTGCGAAATTCGAAATGAATGGCTGTTAATTTTAGTGGGCCCGATCTATCAGTGACAGACGTAGCCGAACTATTAGTGGCCCCATGAGCCATTTGACTATTTTCTGGGCCCAACCCTGTGGCAGATTGACAGTCCGAGGGTGGGGCCCAGTTCAACCTATAAGTCAAAAAAATAAATAAATCAATTTAAATAAATAATATGCCGAAAATTCTAAGCTTTATATCCATGAAATTCTAAACGATAGGCTGTTAATCTTGGTGGGGCCGAACTTAGGCCCATGGGGCCCAGCCCAGTAGAGCACTTTTTTTGGCCCAAGTCGAACAGATCCACCCAGGCTGCTGTGGGCCCAAAGTGGGCCCCACGAGCATCTCTCTGCCACGTGGCGACAGACACCAAGTCTAACAAATTGGTCAGCGTGAATATGTGGGCCCCACACAATGGATCAATTAACTATCATTTAATAGTTTTATTAAATGATGCATTATTTCTCACGGGGCGATAAATATGTGGCTGGCAAGTGGATCTGGAGAGAGGGCGAATCACAACCGTCTGATGGGTAGACCGATGAAGCTAGAGCCCGTGATCCTCGCTACTCGAATCCTGACTTCATCATTGGTTTGGAAAATTTCTCCCCAGGCCTCATAAAATAACTGACTTTAGGGGGCGTTAAAGTGATAATAACTCCCTAGCTGTCCAATTGCAGACGGAACAAAATGAAAGGCGGCCGTTGTACGGTTGTGGGGCCCACTTAGTTCCAGGCTGTCCGATCGGATGTTTGCAGATCGTGCGGTTGCGATCGTCCTGGCTTCCAGCAGCAGACGATCAGAAAATAATTATTATGTCGGTAGTTTTTTAGAAATTTCAAAAAAGTCCATGGGAATTTAAACATATAGAGTTGACTGAATAAAGTATGGAATTATGCTGCGTTGGTCCGGCGGAGCACGAGCTGGCCCTATCCTGGTCCTTCACGGTGGCGGCGGCATGGACGTTGCCTTCAACTTTGCTGGCTATGCCTGTAGCTGAAGAGGTACATTAAAACATTTAATAATTTAGTAAAAATACATTAAAAATATTTACCACGGGATTTACGAAAATTCCTTTTAATATTACACTAATTTTTAAAAATTATTTTTAAAATGAGGAAATTTAGAAAAAGTTATGTTTGGGGACACTTGAATAAATTAATATAATTATATGGTGCAATTATCTTTCTACATTGAAGATGGGGATATTAGAAAATTATCAGAAAAAACTCTGCAAGTATACGAAGGGAGAGAAATTACGACCGACGACTTCCAGAGGACCTCTTCCGCTCCCTTCTGTCGTCCTTCGTCCTTTGTCCTCCCTTTCTCTCTCTCTCTCTCTCTCTCTCTCTCTCTGGGGGTCTCTCGCTCTAGCTCTGGTCTTTGTTTTGACCTGTTCAAAGCGGAAGGAGAAGTGAAGGAAGGTCTCCCTCTCTCGTTCCCTGTTGCGGGGGAGCTTTTCCGTTCGTCGTAGAAGTGCGTGGATCTCTGGTGTTCAAACCGTTTCGTCGACGTCTTCTCAGCAGCTCTGTGCGGTTTGATTCTCTCTCTTCGTCAGGTAGTCACCCCGGCCCCCCTTCTCCTGGTATTCGTTCCCCTTCTCTCTCTGCTCTGCGTGCTGGGATGGCTGGCTTTGTGCCGGTTGAAATTGGCCCTTGTGCTGGAGTGAGGTGCATATGTTGCATGGATCCAGATCACTGCTATTGGTTCTGCATTGAATTATGCTCTGTGGGACATTTTTATGGACCTTTTTGCCGCTGGTAAGCTTCCTTTGGTATTATTAGCCGAGATTGTGTGGTTATCAGCTCAGGGATCTGGGGTACGTTGCTTTTATCATCCTGGTCCTGGGAGATGCGTGAATTTTATTGTGGTCTAGTGCTTCCTGGGTCTAAATTCTTTTGTCGCAGACTTCCCTTAAGCCCGAGATTTTGTAGATGGTCGAGCTGAATCTGTCTGCGGAATGGGTTTGGGTTTTTAAAGGGTTTCGGCACAGGATTTTAGGGAACTCCCAGTGTTCGGATTGGCTTTTGCGATTAAATCTATTGTCGGATGAGAATCTTATACGAAAACTTTTGCGATTTAATCGAAAGAATTGGCTTCCTAGAAATATTTTATGGATGTCTGATGTAGCTGCGCTTATTATAAAAAAATAACTGGTGAGAATTTATATTCTTTTGGGAGAAGAATCATGATTTTTGGAGGATTCAATGATGGTTGAATCGGAAGTTGTCTTGCGAGAGACAATTTATGGATTTTTGGGACAGATATGCTCAAGATAAGAAATAAGTGAGGTTTTTATCGTGAGAGATGCAACTTGTAGTAGGAATTGCGGGTTTTGTTACAAAGGAATGCTTCTGAGTTGCTTGGAATCTTTCCTCTTTTCTCTCTCATCATGTTCAAACGTATCTTCAGTATAGATTCTTCTCTCTTTTATGTGCTAATGGTTTCTTACTTTTTCAACTTATGATCATTTTGATGCAGGAAAATTTAGTAGCTAAGGAGAATGTCTGGAGGTGGCTCACAACCGACTCTTAGGAAGTACCTGGGAGCCATAAAGGATACTACAACAGTGAGCTTGGCTAAAGTGAACAGTGATTACAAGGTTAGAATCCCTCACGTAATAGGTTCCTTCTTAGCATTGATTTTCTATTTCGATCAGACTTGTTACAGTTCCATATTTGTTTCCTGGACCTTGCAGGAACTGGATATTGCAGTTGTGAAGGCGACTAATCATGTTGAGCGCCCTCCCAAGGAGAAGTACATAAGAGGTCATCACTTTCATACGCTGCTCTTTAGTGGGAAGTGTCTAGCTTCTTTGTTTCCTTGCGCGAGTTAAAATAAAAACTCTAGTATGAGTCAAAATAAAATTTATTAAAGACTGTGTCCACTGAATTTTTTTCTTAGAACCCTTTGTTGATTTTAGCTTTATTTTATTTTAATTTATTTTTTTTCTTATGATGACTTAATACATGCTTTAGTTATCTCTGTCTCAGGAATCTTGCCTTTCTACTATAAATTGATCATGGATTGTGTCTCACCTTCTGAGTTTCAGGAATGACTTTTTGTAGCTTAAAATCTTTACTCGGTTTTGTTTTTTGGGGAAATAGATAGAAAGAAAATTTGAAATGCACGTGTACGAATTATATTGACAATAATAGTTAGGCATTTTCAACTAAGTTGTCTCTCAAAACGAACCGTCACATCCATTATAAAGGAGTTTCGACCCCTTCGTAAAGCATGTATTAAGTCATCATAGATCAATTTATAGTGTACATTTTGGATCAGAATGGGTTGGTTATTTGCTCCTTTTAGTGTACATTTTATGTTTCATTCAAGTTTATTCGTCATTTCCCTATTTTACCAGAATAGCTCAAAATGTTTGTTACTTCTCCGCAGCTATATTTGCTGCTATCTCAGCTTCAAGACCTCGTGCTGATGTGGCTTACTGTATCCATGCTCTTGCCAGGAGACTTGCCAAAACCCATAATTGGGCGGTAAGAATTAATTTTCATTCAATGTCTCCATTTTTAGTTTAGGCTGTATGCACTCGGTGTAGAATGATCTATGGAAGTGTGGTAGAGTGGCTCTTCTGATAAAAGAAAAACTAATCTCCAGGATTATGGAAAAGCTTGTTCGTTTTGATGCTAAATCAAACGTATTCGTTATTGGTGTGTAAGTGGGATTGGATTAAGCTAACTTACGTAATGGTGCTCATATGTTGATGGTTCCAAATTGGATTCTACACGCTAGGAAAATCATATCATTCAAGAATAAAAAACGATTCCAAGTTCATGCAGGAATTCAGAGCACAATTCAACTAGGCAGCAAGCTTTTATGTTTGTTTTTTTGAAAAGGTTACCCTCCGCATGGATAGACCAAGAAGAGGGAATCATTGACTATGGTTATTTCAAAATTGTCAAGCCTGCCAACTGCAGTCAATTGATTATGAAAATGAGCAGGTCCTCATTTTCTGCTTCTGGACAAGTTCATTCCTATATTTCTAGATTATTTCACCATATTCGAATTCTTTGTGAGAATCTCCCACAATGAATTTTTCTTTACCCTTCTTAATTTCAAGTGGTGGATGCCTCTCCTAAAACATGACATCCTCATCACTTTCCGAGAAATGGCTCCTGTCCAGGGTCTGTTGTCATAAATCAGACAGATAGAGGCCATTTCATCAGATTCAGACAAATTTTTCAATTTCTGACTACACACATTTCTTTCACGTTCACCCATGTTCATTAGCTTATTCTATTTTGATTAGTTGATAAAAATGTTATTATTATTCAGGTGATACAGTTCAACATGATCAGTTCTATCTGGGTTCAACTGATTCAGTTTCATGTTTTCATTTGAGACTTTGTACTATCTCAGTCTCCTTCTTTTCCTTATCTCTATGTGGTTTCTTTTCCATATCTATTCTTCAGCAGACTTAATCTGAGTGATGTCTGTTTGATCCTTCCAATGCCAGAGCTTGATAAAGTTAATCTGGTCTGATCTGAAATTCTCCAAGCCATGATTGAATGCCTTTTAGCCAGAATCACACCTCACTTTGCCAGAGTGGATGCCTTTTAAACTAATAGAAGATGACTCTGAAAAATTCCCAAGAAAGAACTGTCAACTATGGTCAGAATGCAGGGGTGTCACAAGAAAATTGCTAATAAAAAATATATTTTCCCTGAATAAATTGTTTATTAGGCTCAGACTCATCCTATTGGCGCCCCTAGTGTAAAAGCATTGCTTGATAAGTAAACATTTATGTCACTACATATACATATTAATTGGAAAGTATATGTTTCCCAAATTCGATTGTCGTTGCTTTTCAATGACAAGAATTAGATTTGGTTTATTCCAAATATTGATGTGTGTCCATGCTCTGGCTGTAAGGATACAACTTATCTGCAAAGGTAATCAAACAAACAGAGAACCTGGAAAATGACATTACTAGTGACTAGTATTGCAGAAGCTATGCTTGTGCCATGAGTTAGTCCATGAAAGGAACTAATAGAACAACAGAGCCACTATTTTTAGCTGAAACGTCTGATCATCGACTCTTGGCTGCATTGTCGGGATTTCTTCTTTACTGTTCCTTCCTGCAAGTTGTATTTCGTAGTTCGTTCTGTCAATCATTACTGTAGCTTTGTCTTTCGGCATGTAACTTGCTCATGCCGAGCACTCATTGAACACCCCATATATGTAGGTTTGTCTAGACTCATTAACCAAATGGAGAACCACATGGAAACACAAGCGTGACTTCTCTACCTGAATGACAGACGGCATTGGAAACACAGGCGTGACTTCTCCACCTGAATGACAGATGGCATTGGAAACACAAGCGTGGTTACATTGACTTCTCTACCTGAATGACATCCACACTTGTGTTTCCAATGCCTTCTGTCGTGAATGTCTTCCCCTTGTAGTACTACCTCTGATTCTCAATTGAATGTAATATTTCTTATACGAATTAATTTAATAACTTCTATTCAGACTTTTTTCCATTTTATTATCCATTTTAAACACCACCTTTTTTTATCACCATGGTGAACGTAAATATCATATCAGCTATTGGTTGGATCAGTTGTCTTCTTTCAGGTTCGAACCTAACCCGTTTCACTTCAATGCTAGGTTGCATTAAAAACATTGATCGTCATACATCGTGCAATGAGAGAAGTTGACCCCACTTTTCGTGAAGAGCTAATTAATTATGGAAGAAGCAGAAATCATATGCTCAACATGGCTCATTTCAAGGATGATTCCAGTGCACATGGTCTTACTATCTATAATACTTTTATCTCAAATTCTTGATCCATTGGTCAGTGTCAGTAACAAAGTCTGTTAATTTTTGTCCAGCATGGGACTATTCTGCATGGGTGCGCACATATGCTTTGTATCTAGAAGAGAGACTTGAATGTTTTCGGGTACTCAAGTATGATGTTGAGACAGACCCTCCGGTATGCATTTCTACTTGATTACAGTAGAAATTATCTGAATTTGGTTCATAAACCTTTATCAGTTCGAACTTGCTAAGAAAATGGAACATTTTTACTTTTTCCAACAAATTCGTTTTGTTTGACATGGGACATGAGTTTCATGCTGCGTAGTATAAGTGGAAAAAACTAAATAGGAAATTCCAGGGGATCGTTTTATGATTGATAAAGCAAGTTCTTACATTATTACTCTAAAAGTTTACTTTGGTAATTACTCTTAGATAAATTGATCTGCCTGATAATTTTATATTAGAAGTACTCTTGAACTTGTCAAGAGCCACTTGGAAATCCGTGAAACTTGGAAAGCTATCAAAAAGTTTCAAACTACTTATTTGTTATTTGCTTATGATTGCCAGCTGAATGTATTAAAGAATTTGTTTCCTTAGATTTCATTCAAAGTAGTTGTCAATCTGCAGTGACATAGGAGACCTTACGACCAACAAACATGAAGACTAGATTGCCAGAAGAGTCAGAAAATAAAGTATACTTTGCATGCGGTATTCCCACTGATTTCTGACATACTTTGGATAGTGGGAATCTCCTTGAACTGTTGAATGTGCGTACAATGAGTCCTCAAATGGGGAGGCATTTTCTGCATGTTAGATGTGAAATGTAGATAATTTTTAAGTTCGCGAGCTACATGATGATGAAGCAGGTTTTGTCTTTTTATTACGTAGTGAGCAAGAGGATATAGTAGATGGAAATAAAATCTAGACAAAGGCATTGTTCTCTTTTAACTTTGCTCTTTTATGCTCATATGTCATTGATTCTACCTTGGTTGAGCCACAGGATCAGATTGTCAGAACACATAAGTTGATGGATGATGTAATGTTTCAGATTTTCGTAATTCTCTTTGAAAGGGATTTTAATTTCATAAGTTGAAAAGTAAGTCTGAGATGGTTTTTGTTTGCATCTTTTTTATGTTGTTTCTGAGTATTCAACCCATAGATAATTCACACATTATATCTCTCGATCATTAGTTCCAACAATAAAAGATGATAAGTTATGCATTTGTACCGGTGAAGTTATTCTCAGTTGACTCTATTCTTTCCTGCAAAGGATAGAGAATCTGTATAGTAGACCAGAGCTTTCAGAATTTTTGTGAATCAAATAAATGATTTCAATGGTTCATAAAGATTAATCAATGTCCGCTGACAATAAACCTTTTTCCTTTTCTCAATTGGAAACCTTTTTCTGGGATTTCATATTTTTTCCCTGTAAGCAGAGAAATCGGGATCTGGACACTGTAGAACTGCTTGAACAGTTGCCCGCTCTTCAACAGCTTTTATACCGTCTTCTTGGCTGCCTGGTATGTCTTGATCATCCAACCTAGGGGATTTTCTTGTTCCATTGAGTGCATATCCTGATAAAATGACTACATGTCAGCTTTCATGAGCAAAAACTGAGCTTACAGCTTCCTTGCAGCCACAAGGAGCAGCTTCATACAACTTCATTATTCAGTTGGCAATTTCAATGGTGAGGAAGGTTCAAGTTCAGTTTTATAATATGACTAGTTCGGAACTTACTCTTGTTACCCATTCATCACTTTGGGTTATTTTCGGTAGGTTGCTGGAGAAAGCATTAAAATTCATCAGGCAATTGACAATGGTACACTTAATTTGGTTGACAAGGTACGGGTAGATTTTCTGCTCCTGAAAACCAATATATTTGGCTTCTTTGTAGTCACTTCCTATTATGGTGGCAGTTCTTTGAGATGCAACGACATGATGCTATTAAGGCTCTTGAGATATACAGAAGGGCAGTGCAACAGGTAATATCTTCGTCTCTGTGGCCCAAAGGTACTTATGTATCATGTTAACTTCGTTCTCTATTTATCTTTTACATATAAGGCTGCTGCATGTGCAACCGTTCTTTATATTTTCCATGCTAGCTAGCTTATTAATGTAGTATTGTTACGGATATTAAGCATATAACGATAATAATTATATTAGCTTGCTCTTGAAAATTGTGTTGAGACTTCGTCAGGATTTTATTGTGGCAGATAAAAGCATTGCCACAAAGCTTAAGACATCAATTTAATGGTCGAATTGACTTTTTGGCTTTTAGGGAGAGAGATTATCTGAATTTTATGAGGTGTGTAAAAGCATTGACATCCGACGGGGCGAAGGATTTCCCAAGATTCAGCAGGTCTCTGTGCTGTACTGATTTATTGAAATATTTCCGTTCATTTGTTGCAGAAACAAATTATCAGTGAAGAATTCTGCCATCCTAGTAACTAATTTTTTTTTCTAAATAATGATGCAGCCCACACCTTCATTTCTCACTGCCATGGAGGAATATGTAAAGGACGCCTCACGAGCTCGGGTACTTTACAGAACTTTGCCATGACTTTCATACAATTGAACAGATAATTGTAGCTCCAAATGCTCTTCTTTCTTTTCTCCATTCCCTTCACCTCCTTTCCTCGCTTATTTATTCTTCTGACAAGAGGAGAAGGCTGTCCCTGCGAGCGGTCAGTGGCATGACGCAGCCTGTCCTTGCATGTGTGTGTGGGGGGCTGTGGTATGACAGGCCAGACCTCGAATGGCTTGCAGTCTTCTGGAGACGTTTGGTGTGGCTCCCACAAATAAAACTTCTAAGGCCAATTCTGCCATTTTGATGACTTAGAGATATGACTTTGATTTCTGCAGAAACCAAACTCAAGGCCGAATTCAGCCACTGGAACTCGATTTTATAATTTTAGCTTTAGAATTTCTATTTTGGTCTTAAGATATTAAGAAGTCGAGCTAACTTTCTCCCTTGATTCTTAGCACCTGATGGGCCTGTTTTTAAGTGTGCCTGGCCTTGCTCTTTGAGCATCCGCCCAAATTCAATGAAAATGCTCATAACTGGCACAGCCGGCTTAACTTATAAAAACGTTGCAGAGAAATTGGGGCAATGGGACCTCTGTTGAATTAATCCCTGCCGTTTTGCATCCTTCTTCCTTCTCTCTTGACATCTGAGCCATTTCTCATGTCTATTTCATCAGGCAATAGATGACAAACCCAAAGTCTTGGCAATCGAATATAAGAAAGAACCAGAAGCACAGGAGCCACCAAAGGCTTCCTCCCCACCCCCAGAGCCGGCTGCTGAACCAGAGGATGATCAACTTCCAGTCCCAGTTCCAGAGCCGAGTGATCTGTTGGTAATATTCTTTCCGTAGTGCTCTGTCTTACGATTGGTAGTTTCCAACTTAGGTTGCCAAGTCACTGCTTTCTGCATTGGATTCTCAGGGACTCAGTGACCCCAACCCAGATGCATCTGAACTAGACAAGAAGAATGCTATGGCTCTTGCCATCGTCCCAGTTGGTAAGCAAGTAATGAATGCATGAGTCCTTGATGATTGCTGAGTGCTCAAAGCTTACACTTATGCTTCTACTTTTTGATTGCAGATACTGCGACGAGCACCCCTTCTTCTTCGGGATCAAATCTTGGGCAGACGACCACCGGCTGGGAATTGGCACTCGTGACTGCCCCAAGCTCAAATGAGAGTGCTGCTGCTACAAGTAAACTGGTATGCTCCGCTCTCCACCGTAGTCTTGTTCACTTTTTCTCGTCAATTTAAATTGGAGACCTGTTAGGATTTAATCAGATTGAGCGGGACAAGTGAATCATATGGGTTTAAGTTCATGAGCCTACTCCACTCACTGCCAATTAGTTTTGTGTTGAGTTTTCCCATTATTATTGTGTCGAGTGCATCAAATACTGTCTTGAATTTGTGCCTTATCTGTGTCATGAGGCCGATGTTTTAGAATTTTTGTCGTTGAATGAGATAATTAATTCATGGGATTAAATATGTTGGGTAATTCCACTTTTTTAATTGATTTTGCATTTGATGGTTTCATTTTTTTTTTCATATGCTGCCAGTTATGTTCATGAGTTTGCGTCCTATTTGTTATCAACTTGTCAGAGCAATAAAGAAGTTGCCTTTTTCGTGAGGAGACATTAAAATATTATCCAATTGGACAATACAATTAGACATATGGTCGTACTGTACCTAATATGAAATAGTTTTATGCTGGATGGTCCAATTCTGGTGTTACCAGGCTTCTTTTTCTTGAATACCATCCGCAGTATAAATGCCCCCATGTTTATATTTCATCCCAACTCTTTGACGTAGTCTTTTTTGTTTTCAAATTTTCTGGGTAAGCTGGGAGGATCACAAGCTCTCACTGGGCAGTTCTTTTTTGTGTCTACTTACAACTCGTTGACTTTGAAATTTTCTTGTCAAATTTGCTATTTAGGCTGGGGGCCTCGACAAGCTCACACTGGACAGCTTGTATGACGATGCTATTCGACGGGCCAACCAGCCAACAAGCTACAACCCATGGGAGCCAATGCCTGCAGCTGGAGGCCCCCTGATGCACCAAGCGATGGCCCATGACCCCTTCTATGCCTCCAACTCCATCGCAGCCCCTCCCACCGTCCAGATGGCAGCCATGGCCCAGCAGCAGCAGGCCTTCATGATGCAGCAGCAGATGATGATGATGGGCCAACAGCCGCACCAATCCTTTGCAAACCCATTCGGCAATCCTTATGCGGCGGTGCCCATGGCAGCTCCTCCATACAACCCCTTAACCCATCCCCATGCTTCACACACCTACAGGGGCTTCATCTGATGGGAGGTTTTTGCTTCCAGATCTGAGGATAGCATTACAGAGGAGATGTGATGTGGTTTGTCCTTGGCCCTGCTCGATCAGTGTTTGAGAATTTGTTTGTATTAAGACGAGCTAGGTGCCATGTGCAGATAGATGGCAATTGGATTTATTCAACACACAGTAGAGGAAGCTGTGGAGTGGGGTTGATTGTTTCTGGGAAATGTATGTCCCTACAACAAGTGCTTGTAGAATTGTCTCTAAGGCCTTGAAGTCTCTTGGGATCTCTGTAATATGTGGGTATTGGCTTTCTAGAGGATTTTGCATTTGCCTGTTTTCATGACCCCTAAGAAATAAATGATGGTTGCATTTGAAGATTGCCCTTTCATCCGTGGTTATCATTTGAAGATGAGCCAGTTATAGTGTGATAAATTTCCCTTTCAAGGAAATTTTTGGCAGAAATCTGTCTTCTTTCTCAAACCATTAAGAAGCACGCAAGCTTTGTATGCAGATCCTGAAGATTCCCAATGGGTATTTGAAGTTTACATTAGAGGGTGAATTGCATCGTTTCAAACAAAATTAAAAATAAAATAAAACTGTGCAAATATGATCAAGCAGAAGACACTAAATTTTTTATTACGTTTTAATTTCATGCATATCAGAAAGATTACTGAAAAAATTGTTATTTCCTTGGTTTCTCAAGCTATCAACTTGGCCTTCTTACACTTTCACAAGTTTTATGAATTAATTAATCAATATATTCAAATAAAATTAGAGAAATCCAACTATTAATTTGGCCTCAGTGACGTTTGAGAGGAGCTCAAAGGGCTGGAGTGAATTAGATAGAGTAACTTGATTTCTTTTTAAGTTTGACGATAAATTTTTAAGTGCAGTGAAATTCTAAAGAGTCTCACATTCACTATTAAAAAAGGAGTAATTTTTCATTATTTTTCGTTGCAGGTTATCAGACAAAGATGTGAAGCTTAGTATAATATGGCAACACTTAAATCACATGAGCCAATTCATGTATTCCTTTGCGAGAGAGAGAGAGAGAGAGAGAGAGAGAGAGAGAGAGAGAGAGAGAGAGAGAGAGAGAGTTTTATGCCCACTTGTTAAACCTAAAGTAAATTTCTATGACAAGTCGTGGATGAATCCCTTGTTGGCGATTGACCATCAAAATAGCTTGTGGAAGCAGAAAGAAGATGGAGAGATCTTGGAGCAATGTGGCCTTTATTCTAGTTCAAGAATGTACAAAGAGAAGGGAGGAAAGACAAGGGGGAAGTTCAACTCACTGCCTCTCAATGCCTTTACTAAGCCGAGACCACCCTCTCTTTATAAGGAAGAGAGTGGGGTGACCCCTTCCTTAATTAGATGGGGTGCTCCCTTCTCTTACTGAACTTGTCCTCCCTAGATAGGACTTAGCCATGACCGGCCGTCCTCATTTGGATATTACCTTGTTTTGCTAGAGGATAATTATGGCATATCAGACAAGCACTTTCATGATCGCAAATAGTGCAACCCCCATCAGCCACCCCAGCTTGTCCAAAACAAGTTGGATATCTCGTGGCAAATCTGCCTGTGCTGAGTGTATATTGCTCGTCATATGTCCATACACTATGCCTCTGCCGCCCGTCCATTGTGCGCGCTCACTGTGTGCCCACTATGCTCTCATATCATGCGCTCTCCCTCGCATGCTCTTTGCACGTCTACCGCATGCATTGCTTCATGTTGCTGCCATGCCACGCCACGTCACATTGTGCCGCACCATGCTATTAGTTAGTGAGACCTACGAGAGCCTCTCCATACAATAGCAAACTCCATTGCCTATGTCACGTGCATTTGCACGCCCTTCATTCATTGCGATGCATATGGTGTTGGCTTGCACGTGTTGTGCTATTGTGGTGTCCCCACAGCATATGCAAGTGCATCCGCATGCTTGGTTACTTAAGTGCGTGTTGAAGCCTTGTTGCAGGAACATTGCTCTATGATGCTAAAGGCATGACATCCTCCCCTGTTTACTAGATCTAATGTCCTTGTTGAAGCTTGAGTCTTGAGATATATTTCAATGAGATCCTCAAAATTACTAAGAATTGACTTCACGTTCATGTATAACATCTTCCTCTAGTCTTCCTCACCACTTAACAAGATACAACTTGAATCACTTAACAAGATACAACTTGAATCACTTGCCATGTTGACACAATAGGCCAACTGTTCTACCTTTGCTATAACATTGAATAGTCCATCATAACTAGATAACACCATTTGATGCTTTTCTGCACCTCAAGAAAGATAGAGATACATAGCATCAATTTATCATTAGCTTAGAACTCCATGTCATGTTTACCCTAATTTGTATTCTTTTTCATTCTATGAACCACATACACCAATATCTCACATGCTTCCTTAATAAACTCCTCACATAATTTGAAATGGTGCATTGCAAGGCAATATAACACACCTTTTCTGCTTTATCAATTTTAGTAGTGTTAGTGAATGCTGACCCATTGTGAGCTCATATGGTGACTGCTCAATTATGAAGTTATGGTGCAGATTTTAGGAGAATTGTATCATGTAAAGCAACTCAACCTAATTATCTTGATTTTTTATCATGTAATACCAGAAAAACTCTCACAAGCTATTAATCCACTTCGTCTGCCCATCCCTCAATCGATAAAGGTTTGTCAAAAACTTGAGTTAATGCTTTGATGTTATGAAAAGTTCAGATCAAATTTTTCATAGGGATTGAGTGTCCCAATCACCAGCAATGTCCTTATAAAGTCTCCACATTTTTACCACATTAGTGAAAAAGAGTCATGCCACTTTCTTTGTCAAATAGTCTATTTGTGTCAACACAAACACTACATACCTGGACAAGTGATCTATCAAGAAAAAGATAAAGTCCTACTATGCCTTTAGTAACTTGACAATGAAATTTATGGAGATAAGACTCTCAAGGTTAGTTGAAAATGAAGAAGGGCTCCAATATGCCTACACCTTTTGCTTGTCTATCTTGCCTTGTTGGAAAAAAAAAAGCATAACACATTATTCTATATCTTGTTTCATACAAGGCCAGTAGTAAATATATACTAACAATGCCAACATAAACCATTAGCATGGGTGTTCTACTTATGGCACATTGTGTGCCTACTACAATAATTGTCACCACAACTTGTCAACATGTTGCACAACTAGTCACTATTTCCACATGTAGTACGTACTATCTTCAGCCTAAAAGTGGTGTATCATTCCATTCATTACACAGCATCAAATGTTTTAAGTACTGTTTGTGCCATCAAATGCTTTGTTGAATTTTTTTAACAATGTATGAATACAGGTTGCTACATGAATATATTAATGCAGCAAACCTTAACATGTAGTAACACTTTATATGTCATTCATGAAAAGAAAATCAATTACAATATTGAACTCATATCACGTAAAGACAATCATAGCCAAGATGAGAAGGATGAATCAAATAAAAAATTATTAGAATATTCCTCATATGCAAGAGAAATTTCATTGAACAAATTTGAATAGTCTGCACTTCATAATTCCTTTAATGAACGTTGTGAATAATATTAAACACATGTTTAATCAAAATTCTGTATTTTTAATTAGAATACTCATGAAGGGAAGTTAAATGTCTATCTTAATATCTTAAATTGAAAAAAAAGAATGAAATGAATGACATCGTGAAGTCCTAAGAGTAAGGAATTAGATAGAGGAACTACTTTTCCATTCTCCTCCCATCACAAAAAAAATATCTAAAACCTCATGGAAAAAAAATTACTTGTTTAAATGGAAAAAAATGGGCAGTGTGAAAGCTCAAAAAGCTGACCCATTGGAAGAAAAGTGTTTATCTAGTCTCCTCTTGTCAAAAAAAAAATTGTGAGAAAATAACTTCTTGTCCTAACTATATTATTACTATAAATAAAGAGCTAAATAAACTTCAAATCATGAGGAACATGATTAAAAATTCTAGAATGAATATCATTCTTAATTTTTAGGTGTAAGTTATTAAACATTTAGTTACTTATATTTGCTGGTTATAAGTGTTGATTATATACAAAAAGGGATGTGAAATTTTCAATGTCATTTTGAGTAGTATCTAAATAATTGAAGTAAAATTTCACCACAAAAGCTTGTTATAAGAACATGATACATGTTTGAGACAAGTACTTCTATCTAAAACCATTTTTTATTGAAATATAACTCTTAATTCATAAATTATTTAATATTTCTATTGTTAAAGGATTAACAATGACATAAGTTTGGGAGTGTGATAACATGTCATTTTTATGTGATAAGTAATGAAAAATTAATATATTTACACCATTAGTTCATACTAAATTATATAACTTTAATGAGAAATAAAGTGGATCAAATTTTAGATTAATTATGTAAAATGCATGCTTAATGTATGATTTATACATACTTTTATAGCATATTTATATTTTGAATATTCATCGATTATATGATAATATGTTTCATTTGACATTTTTGCCTTCTATTATATCATTATTAGGCAAAAATTAAAATTTAATGGTTGTGATTCCTTTTTTTAGATAGAAATACTTTGTCCTGATTTTTGGTGATTTTTCATAGTATTTTCAGAATATGTGATCAGTTATAGGGCCATTATGAGCTCGTTAAGGGAACTCATTAAGCCCTATTTTATCAGTTTATTTAATTAAATTAAAATGATTCCCAAAATAGGTAGAAATGCATGAAAATGGCCAGAAATAAGTGTAAAATGGACAAAAAAATGCATGAAGAAATAAAAGTCGATTGTCACTAAAAATTAAACAATCTTTCAGCAAGTTGATTTCTCACTACTTGTGATTGATTCTAGGTCTAATGGGAATATTAAAACTTTGATTTATGGGAAAAAAAGTAATGCATTTTCTTCTTCCTTCTGCCAAGTGACATATAGTGGCATTCTTTCAATTCTTTGTCAACTCCTCATGTCATTTTGCAATTTGAATATAATTTTCCTTCATTTTTTATTTTTTTTCTTCAAT